CATCCCTATTTTAGGGTCCCCAGGGTCCCCTCCCCAATTTTGGGGTCCCCGAAGTGTCCCCGTCCCAATTTTGGGGTCCCCTCCCCAATTTTGGGGTCAGTCCTCAAATTTTGGGGTCCCCAAATTGTCCCCATCTCAAATTTTGGGGTTCCCGATGTTCCCACTCCCCAATTTTGGGGTCCCCATTCCAATTTTTGGGTCCCCACTGTTCCCTCCCCCAAATTTTTGGGTCCCCAATGTCCCCTCATCCCCATTTTGGGGGTCCCCTCTCCAATTTTGGGGTCCCCGATGTCCCCACCCCCTATTTTAGGGTCCCACTCCCCGATTTTAGGGTCCCCTCCCCAATTTTGGGGTCCCCGAAGTGTCCCAGTCCCATTTTTGGGGTCCCACTCCCCAATTTTGGGGGTCCCCAGTGTCCTCTCCCCCCCAGTTTTATGGTCCCCAATTTTGGGGTCCCCGTTCCAATTTTGGGGTCCCCAAAGTGTCCCCATCTCAATTTTTGGGGTCCCCAAAGTGTCCCCATCTCAATTTTTGGGGTCCCCAATGTGTCCCCATCTCAATTTTTGGGGTTCCCAATGTCCCGTTCCCCCCAATTCTGGGGTCCCCACCCCCCATTTTTGGGGGTCTCCTCCCCAATTTTGGGGTCCCCAAAGGGTCCCCTCCCCCATTTTGTCGTCTCCCCCCCAGTTTTGGGGTCCCCAAAGTGTCCCAGTTCCATTTTTGGGGGTCCCCAGTGTCCCCTCCCCAAATTTTGGGGTCCCCAATGTCTCCTCCTCCCCATTTTGGGGTCCCACTCCCCAATTTGGGGTCTCCATTCCAATTTTGGGGTCCCCAATGTCCCCTCCCTCCAATTTTGGGGTCAGTCCTCAACTTTTGGGGTCCCCAAAGTGTCCCCATCCCATTTTTGGGGGTCCCTCCCCCAATTTTGGGGTCCCCTTCCCAATTTTAGGGTCTCCAAAGTGTCCCAGTCCCATTTTTGGGGTCCCACTCCCCAATGTTGGGGTCAGTCCCCAAATTTTGGGGTCCCCAAAGTGTCCCTGTCCCATTTTTGGGGTCCCTCCCCCAATTTTGGGGTCCGCAAAGTGTCCCCATCTCAATTTTTGGGGTTTCCAATGTCCCGTCCCCCCAATTTTGGGGTTCCCTTCCCCATTTTGGGGTCTCCTCTCCAATTTTGGGGTCCCCGAAGTGTCCCTGTCCCATTTTTGGGGGTCCCCAAATGTCCCTCTCCCCTTTTTGGGGTCCCCTCCCCAACTTTGGGGTCCCCTCCTCAATTTTGGGGTCCCATTCCCCAATTTGGGGGTCCCCATTCCAATTTTGGGGTCCCCAATGTCCCCTCCCCCCAATTTTGGGGTCAGTCCTCAACTTTTGGGGTCCCCAAAGTGTCCCAGTCCCATTTTTGGGGGTCCCTCCCCCAATTTTGGTGTCCCCATCCAAATTTTGGGGTCCCCGAAGTGTCCCAGTCCCATTTTTGGGTGTCCCCAGTGTCCCCTCCCCCCTATTTTTGGGGTTCCCTTTCCCAGTTTTGGGGTCCCCAGTGTTCCCTCCTCCCAATTTTGGGGTCCCCTCCCCAAATTTTGGGGTCCCCAATGTCTCCTCCTCTCCATTTTTAGGGTCCCCAAAGTGTCCCCGTCCCAATTTTGGGGTCCGCAAAGTGTCCCCATCTCAATTTTTGGGGTTCCATATGTTCCCTCTCCCCAATTTTGGGGTCCCCTTCCCCATTTTGGGGTCTGTCCTCAACTTTTGGGGTCCCCAAAGTGTCCCCGTCCCATTTTTGGGGGTCCCCAGTGTCCCCTCCCCCCTATTTTTGGAGGTCCCCTCCCCAGTTTTGGGGTCCCCAGTGTTCCCTCCTCCCAATTTTACGGTCTCCCCCCCAATTTTAGGGTCCCACTCTCCATTTTTGGGGTCCCCTCCCCAATTTTGGGGTCCCCTCCCCCCCAGGAGCCCCTCGGTGTCACCGGCGCCGGGACTTCACTGGGTGACACCATTGGGTGACATTGGGTGACACCATTGGGTGGCACCATTGGGTGACATTGGGTGACACCATTGGGTGACATTGGGTGACACCATTGGGTGACACCATTGGGTGACACCATTGGGTGACACCATTGGGTGACACCATTGGGTGACATTGGGTGACACCATTGGGTGACACCATTGGGTGACAGCATTGGGTGACACCATTGGGTGACACCATTGGGTGACACCATTGGGTGACACCATTGGGTGACATTGGGTGACACCATTGGGTGACACCATTGGGTGACAGCATTGGGTGACACCATTGGGTGACACCATTGGGTGACACCATTGGGTGACACCATTGGGTGACATTGGGTGACACCATTGGGTGACACCATTGGGTGACATTGGGTGACACCATTGGGTGACACCATTGGGTGACATTGGGTGACATTGGGTGACACCATTGGGTGACACCATTGGCTGACACCATTGGCTGACACCATTGGGTGACATTGGGTGACACCATTGGGTGACACCATTGGGTGACACCATTGGGTGACACCATTGGGTGACATTGGGTGACACCATTGGGTGACACCATTGGGTGACACCATTGGGTGACACCATTGGGTGACATTGGGTGACACCATTGGGTGACATTGGGTGACACCATTGGGTGACATTGGGTGACATTGGGTGACACCATTGGGTGACATTGGGTGACACCATTGGGTGACACCATTGGGTGACACCATTGGGTGACATTGGGTGACATTGGGTGACACCATTGGGTGACACCATTGGGTGACACCATTGGGTGACATTGGGTGACATTGGGTGACACCATTGGGTGACATTGGGTGACACCATTGGGTGACATTGGGTGACACCATTGGGTGACACCATTGGGTGACATTGGGTGACACCATTGGGTGACACCATTGGGTGACACCATTGGGTGACACCATTGGGTGACATTGGGTGACACCATTGGGTGACACCATCGGGTGACATTGGGTGACATTGGGTGACACCATTGAGGGGTGACATTGGGTGACACCATTGGGTGACACCATTGGGTGACACCATTGAGGGGTGACATTGGGTGACATTGGGTGACACCATTGGGTGACACCATTGGGTGACACTGGGTGACACCATTGGGTGACACTATTGGGTGACATTGGGTGACACCATTGGGTGACACCATTGGGTGACATTGGGTGACACCATTGGGTGACATTGGGTGACATTGGGTGACACCATTGGGTGACATTGGGTGACACCATTGGGTGACACCATTGGGTGACACCATTGGGTGACATTGGGTGACACCATTGGGTGACACCATTGGGTGACACCATTGGGTGACATTGGGTGACACCATTGGGTGACATTGGGTGACACCATTGGGTGACACCATTGGGTGACATTGGGTGACACCATTGGGTGACATTGGGTGACATTGGGTGACACCATTGGGGGGTGACACCATTGGGTGACACCATTGGGTGACACCATTGGGTGACACCATTGGGTGACATCATTGGGTGACATTGGGTGACACCATTGGGTGACACCATTGGGTGACACCATTGGGTGACACCATTGGGTGACATTGGGTGACACCTTTGGGTGACACCATTGGGTGACACCATTGGGTGACATCGGTGTCCCTGTCCCAGTTTGTCCCAGTTTGTCCCAGTTTGTCCCAGTTTGTCCCAGTTTGTCCCAGTCCCTCCCAGTTCCCTGTTACCAATGCAAACTGGCCCGGCCCAATGAAAACCCAATCAATCAACCAATCAATCAATCAATCAATCAATGGGTGATCAATAATTTCAATCGGTGGCTCCGGCCCGGCCCCTCGGCCCCGAACGGAATTCGGGAATTTCCCGCCCAGGTTGGGATTTCAGCTCCTCTCGGATCCCGCGGATGGACGGGAATAACCAACAAACACACACAGAAACAACTAACTAACCAACTAACTAACTAACTAACTAACTAAATAAATAAATAAATAAATAAATAAATAAATAACTGAAAACCTAACTAACTAAAAAACTAAATAAATAAATAAACAAATAAATAAATAAATACCCAGCTAACTAAATTACTTAATTTTAAAAACTAACTAACTAAATAAATAAATAAATAAATAAGTAAAACTAACTATCTAAACACCTAACTAACTAACTAACTAAAAAACTAAATAAATAAATAAATAAAAACTAAATAAATAAATAAATAAATAAATAAATAAACCCCTAGCTAACTAAAGTAATTAATTTTTAAAAATAAATAAATAAATAAATAAATTAATTAATTAATAGAAATTAGTAACTAAATAAATAAAAAACTAACTCAAAACCTCACTAACTAACTAAAAAACTAACTAACTAACTAACTAACTAAAAAACTAACAAACTAATTAAAAACCAAACTAACTAAATAAAAAAACCCTAACTAACTAAATAAATAAAAAAAACCTGACTAACTAAATAAACAAATAAATAATTAAAATAAATAAATAAATAAAAGTTAACTAACTAAACTAACTACCTACCTAAATAACTAACAAACTAAATAAATAAAAAACTAACTAAATAAATAAATAAACAAACAAACTAACTAACTAAATAAATAAAAACTAACTAACTAAACTATCTACCTACCTAAATAACTAACACACTAACTAACTAAATAAAAAACTAACTAACTAAATATATAAAAAATTAACTAACTACACAAGCTAACTAATGAAATAAATAAAAACTAACTAACTAAACTACCTACCTGCCTAACTAAATAACTAATAAATACATAAATACCTAACTAACTAAACTAACTAACTAAACTAAATTACTAATCAACTAACTAAATAACTAACTGAATAACTAATTAAATAATTACATAAATAACTAAACAAATAACTAAATAAACAACCAAACAAACAATTACATAACAAACTAATTAACAAAATCACTAAATTAATAACTAAATAATTAGATAACTAACTAATTAACTAATTAACTCCCACGCCAGCTCAGCTGTTTTTAATTCATAGAACATTTCATTGGCACAGATCCGCATCGGGTGTGACACCGGTGACATCGGTGACATTGGGTAACATTGGGTGACATCGGGGCACAGCCAGCCCCGGGTGACACGGGGTGACATTGGGTGACATCAGGTGACAACGGTGACAACAGGGCACAGCAGCTCCGGGTGACACAGGGTGACACCGGGTGACATCGGGGCACCTGGCCAGGTCCAGGTGACATCGGGGCACAGCCAGCCCCGGGTGACATCCCTGTCACTGTGCCTGGTCCACGTGACATCAGGTGACATTGGGGCACTGTGCCAGGTCCGGGTGACATCGGGTGACACCAGGTGACATCCAGGTGACATCCCTGTCACTGTGCCAGGTCTGGGTGACACCAGGTGACATCAGGGCACTGCCAGCTCCAGGTGACATCCCTGTCACTGTGCCTGATCCAGGTGACACCAGGCGACAGCCATGGCACCGTGCCAGGTCTGGGTGACTTCAGGTGACACCAGGTGAGATTGGGGCACCCGGCCAGGTCCAGGTGACATCAGGTGGCATCGGGTGACACTGGGGCACAGCCAGCTCTGGGTGACACCGGGTGACATCGGGTGACATTGGGTGACATCGGGGCACAGCCAGCTCCGGGTGACATTCCTGTCACCGTGCCAGGTCTGGGTGACATCAGGTGACATCCAGGTGACATTGGGACACCAAGCCAGGTCCAGGTGACATCAGGTGACATCGGTTGACACTGGGGCACAGCAGCTCCGGGTGACATCTCCAGGTGACATCCATGTCCCCGTGCCAGCTCTGCGTCCCTGTGTCACACCCAGGTGACATCCATGTCCTTGCGTCACACTCGTGTCACCGTGCCAGCTGTGTGACACATCCAGGTGACATCAGTGTCACTGTGCCAGCTCCGTGTCCTTGTGTCACATCTGTCACTGTGCCAGCTCTGGGTGACACCTCCAGGTGACACCGTGGTGACATCCAGGTGACATTGGTGTCCCTGTGCCACATCCAGGTGACACCTCCAGGTGACATCAGGTGACAGCTGTGTCCCTGTCCCAGCTCCGTGTCCCTGTGTCACACCCATGTCACCGTGCCAGTTCTGTGTGACACCTCCAGGTGACATCGGTGTCCTTGTATCACATCCAGGTGACATCTCTGTCACTGTGCCAGCTCCGGGTGACGGCTCCAGGTGACATCAGGTGACATCAATGTCCTTGTGCCAGCTCTGTGTGCCACATCCAGGTGACATCCTGCTGACATCTCTGTCACTGTCCCAGCTCCGTGTCCCTGTGTCACACCTGTGTCACCGTGCCAGCTGTGTGACACCTCCAGGTGACATCGGTGTCCTTGTGCCACACCCAGGTGACATCCGTGTCACTGTCCCAGCGTCACAGCTGTGTCCTGTGCCAGCTCTGGGTGACACCTCCAGGTGACATCGTGTCCCTGTCCCAGCTCCGTGTCCCTGTGTCACATCTCTGTCACCGTGCCAGTTCCGTGTGACGGCTCCAGGTGACACCAGGTGACATCAGTGTCCTTGTGCCACATCCAGGTGACACCTCCAGGTGACATTGGTGTCACTGTCCCAGCTCTGTGTCCCTGTGTCACATTTCTGTCACCGTGCCAGCTGCGTGTGATGGCTCCAGGTGACATCCAGGTGACACCTCCAGGTGACATCGGTGTCACTGTCTCAGCTCCGTGTCCCCGTGTCACATCTCTGTCACCGTGCCAGCTGTGTGACATCTCCAGGTGACATCCAGGTGACATTGGGTGACATCACTATCCCTGTGCCACATCCAGGTGACATCCATGTCACTGTCCCAGCTCCATGTCCCTGTGTCACATCTGTCATTGTGCCAGCTCCGTGTGCCACATCCAGGTGACACCAGTGTCCCTGTGCCAGCTCCATGTCCCTGTGTCACACCCAGGTGACAGCCATATCCCCGTGTCACATCCGTGTCCTTGTGCCAGCTCCGTGTGACACATCCAGGTGACACTCAGGTGACATCCGTGTCACTGTCCCAGCTCTGTGTCCTTGTGTCATATCTCTGTCACCGTGCCAGCTGCGTGTGATGGCTCCAGGTGACATCCAGGTGACACCTCCAGGTGACATCGGTGTCACTGTCTCAGCTCCGTGTCCCTGTGTCACACTCGTGTCACTGTCCCAGCTCCGTGTCCCTGTGCCACATCTCTGTCACCGTGCCAGTTCTGTGTGATGGCTCCAGGTGACACCCAGGTGACATTGGTGTCCTTGTGCCAGCTCCGTGTCCGTGTGACACCTCCAGGTGACATCCGTGTCCCTGTCCCAGCTCTGTGTCCTTGTGTCACATCCCTGTCACCGTGCCAGCTGTGTGACACCTCCAGGTGACATCGGTGTCCCTGTGCCATCTCCGTGTCCTTAGGTGACGTCCAGGTGACATTGGTGTCACTGTCCCAGCGTCACATCTGTCACCGTGACCGCTGAGTGACACCTCCGGGTGACATTCGGTCCCTGTCCCAGCTCCATGTCCCTGTGTCACACCTGTGTCACTGTGCCAGATCCGGGTGACATCCATGTCCTTGTGTGACACCCAGGTGACATCAGTGTCCCTGTGCCAGCTCCGTGTCCTTGTGTCACCTCCAGGTGACACCGTGGTGACATTGGTGCCATTGTGCCACACCCAGGTGACAGCCATGTCCCTGTGCCAGCTCCATGTCCCTGTGTCACACCCGTGTCACTGTGCCAGCTCTGGGTGACATCCATGTCCCTGTGTGACATCCAGATGACATCTGTGTCACTGTGTCACACTCAGGTGACATCAGTGTCCCTGTGCCAGCTCCGTGTCCTTGTGCCACATCCAGGTGACATCCAAGTGACACCTATGTCACATCTGTGTCCTGTGCCAGCTCCGGGTGACACATCCAGGTGACATCAGGTGACAGCCGTGTCACTGTGCCAGCTCTGTGTCCTTGTGTCACATCCAGGTGACACCCCCAGGTGACACCAGGTGACATCAGTGTCCTTGTGCCACATCCAGGTGACATCAGGTGACACCTGTGTCACTGTGCCAGCTCCGTGCCACATCTGTTCCTTGTGTGACACCCAGGTGACATCCGTGTCACTGTCCTAGTGTCACAGCTGTGTCCTGTGCCAGCTCCGGGTGACACCTGCAGGTGACATCGGGTCCCTGTGCCAGCTCCGTGTCCCTGTGTAACATCCCTGTCACCGTGCCAGCTCCGGGTGACACCTCCAGGTGACACCCAGGTGACATCCATGTCCTTGTACCACATCCAGGTGACATCCGTGTCCCTGTGCCACACCTGTGTCCTTGTGCCAGCTCCGTGTGACACCTCCAGGTGACATCGGTGTCACTGTGTCACATCCCTGTCACCGTGCCAGTTCCGTGTGACACCTCCAGGTGACACCAGGTGACATTGGTGTCCTTGTGCCACATCCAGGTGACATCTGTGTCCCTGTCCCAGCTCCGTGTCCCTGTGCCACACTCGTGTCACCGTGCCAGCTCCGTGTGACACCTCCAGGTGACATCAGGTGACATCCGTGTCCTTGTGCCACATCCAGGTGACACCTCCAGGTGCCACACCCAGGTGACATTGGTGTCCCTGTCCCAGCTCCGTGTCCTTGTGTCACCTCCAGGTGACATCCATGTCCCTGTCCCACGTCCCCATGTCCCCCTCAGGTGACACCCGTGTCCCCCCATGTGCCCCCCCACCGTGTCCCGCAGCGCTGATGGAATTTCGGGGGAAATTCGGGAATTTGGGGTGAAAATTTGGGAATTTGGGGCCATTTCCGGCGGATTTTGGGGGTTCCGGGTGAGTTTTGGGGGCCGGGCTTGGGCAGCGTCCTGGGGCCAGTTTGGGATCCCAGGAATTCGGGGGAAAATTTGGGAATTTTGGGAAAATTTGGGAATTTTAGGGGAAAATTAGGGAATTTTGGGAAAATTTGGGAATTTTAGGGGAAAATCTGGGAATTTTGGGGGTTTCCCAATGGATTTTTGGGGGGTTTTGGGTGGGTTTGGGGTTTCGAGCCGGGGGGGGGGAATTCCCCTGTCCCCCTTTGGGGGGTCCCATCTGTGACGTCACCGCCCCGTGACGTCACTCTCCCACCCGTGACGTCATCCCCAGTCACCGCCCCCATTTTGGGGGGAGGTCCCTGACCCATTGTGGTTCCCCCCCATTTGTGACGTCATCACTCCATGACGTCACTCCCTTCCCCACGGGGACGGTTGGGGGAGTTTCCCCTCATGACATCACACCCCCATGACGTCATTGCCATATGACGTCACACCCCAACCACCGTGTCCCCCCCCCAGGCACAGGATGGGGGAGGGGCAGCATCCTGTCCCCACAAGTGACTGGGGGGGAGGGGGGTCGGGGGGGGGTGTCCCCCTTCATGACGTCACTCCCCCTCATTGATGACATCACTCCCCCTCATTGATGATGTCACTTCCCCTCATTGATGACGTCACTCCCCATGCACACTCCCCCCCCGGGCACAGGGTGGGCACCCTGTCCCCATAAGTGACCGGAGTGGGGAGGGGGGTGCCAGAGCGGGGGTCCCCCCTTCATGACGTCACTCCCCCCTCATTGATGACGTCACTCCCCATGACGTCACTGCCCATGACCTCTCTATCCCCCCAGGCACGGGATGGGGGAGGGGCGCCGTGTCCCCATAAGTGACCGGAGTGGGGAGGGGGGTGTCAAACGGGGGTCCCCCTTCATGACGTCACTCCCCTTCATGACGTCACTCCCCATGACTCCGGGCACGGGGTGGGGGTGTGGGCACCCTATCCCCATAAGTGACCGGGGGGGGGGGGGGGGGAGGGGGAGGGGTCCCCCCTTCATGACGTCACTCCTCCTTATTGATGACGTCAGTCCCCATGATGTCACTCCCCATGACGTCACTCCCCATGACCTCTGTAACCCCCCGGGCACGGGGTGGGGGAGGGGCAGCATCCTGTCACCCCACAAGTGACTGGAGATGGGGGGGGGGGTCGTCAAAGCGGGGGTCCCCCTATGTGACGTCACTCCCCCATTGATGATGTCACTCCTCATGACGTCACTCCCCATGACCTCTCTATCCCCCTGGACACGGGATGGGGGTGTGGGTGGGCGCCCTGTCCCCATAAGTGATCAGAATGGGGAGGGGGGGTGTCAGAGTGGGGGTCCCCTCTTCATGACATCACTCCCCTACCCATGACGTCACTCCCCCTCATTGATGACATCACTCCCCATGACCTCTCTATCCCCCCGGGCACGGGGTGGGGGTGGGCACCCTGTCCCCATAATTGACCGGCGGGTAGAGGTGGGGGGGGTGTCGGGGGGGTGGTCCCCTTAATGACGTCACCCCCCATGTTGATGACATCACTCCCCATGACGTCACTCCCCACGACCTCTCTATCTCCCCAGGCACGGGGTGGTGGGGGAGGGGCAGCATCCTTTCCCCATAAGTGACTTTGGGGGTGTGTGTGTGTGTGTGTGTGTGACCCCTTCATGACGTCACTCCCCTCATTAATGACGTCACTCCCCTCATGGATGACGTCACTCCCCATGACCGCTGTATGGGTGGGGGAGTGGCATCCTGTCCCCCCATAAGTGACCGGAATGGGAAGGGGGGGTGCCAGAGTGGGGGTCCCCCCTTCATGACGTCACTCCCCCTTATTGATGACGTCACTCCCCATGACCTCTCTATCCCCCAGGCACGAGGGTGGGGGATGGGCGGCCCTGTCCCCATAAGTGACCGGAATGGGGAGAGGGGTGTCAGAGGCCCCCCCTTCATGACGTCACTCCCCTACCCATGACATCACTCCCCCTCATCGATGACGTCACTCCCCATGACCTCTGTAACCCCCGGGCACGGGGTGGGGAGGGGCAGCATCCTGTCCTCCCAGAAGTGACTGGAGATGGGGGTGGGGGGTGGTCAGAGGGGGGGTGTGTCCCACTGCATGACGTCACTCCCCCCACTGATGACGTCACTCCCCACGACCTCTGTATCCCCCCGGCCACAGGGTGGGTGTGGGGGTGGGCGCCCTGTCCCCATAGGCGACCGGAATGGGGAGGGGGGTGCCAAAGTGGGGGGGTCCCGCTTTCATGACGTCACTCACCCCACTGATGATGTCACTCCACATGACATCACTCCCCACGACCTCTCTATGCCCCCAGGCACGGGGTGGGGGGGAGGGGCAGCATCCTTTCCCCATAAGTGACTGCGGGGGGGGTGTGTGTGTGTGTGTGTGTGTGTTCCCCCTTCATGACGTCACTCCCCTCATGGATGACGTCACTCCCCATGACCTCTGTATGGGTGGGGGAGTGGCATCCTGTCCCCCCATAAGTGACCGGAATGGGGAGGGGGGGTGCCAGAGTGGGGGTCCCCCCTTCATGACGTCACTCCCCCTCATTGATGACGTCACTCCCCCAATGATGACATCACTCCCCATGACCTCTGTATCCCCCCGGGAATGGGGGGGTGGGGGCCCTGTCCCCGTGACTGGAGTGGAGAGGGGGGTGCCGGGGGGGGGTCCCCCCTTCATGACGTCACTCCCCCATCCATGACGTCACTCCCCCTCCTGGACGCCCTCCCCGCCCCCTCCCCAGCCCCACCCCCAGCCCCGCAGCGCCCCCCCGAGGCGGCAGCGCAGCAGTCCCGGTGCGGCGGCGCAGCCGGAGCCCAGCTCGGCCCAGAGGCTGCGGAGCCCCTCCGGTGCGAGGCGGTGCGCGCTGAACAGCGCCCCCCGCAGGCAGCACCGCTCGGGCGGCGGCCCCGCCGCTCCGCCGAACCGCGCCGAGTGCCGCACCGCCACCCCCGCCGCCGCCGCCGCCGCCCCGACCCACACATCCTCCGGGAACGCCACCGGGAGCCGCCGCCCCGCCGCCAGCACCGCGCCCGCCGCCCGCCCCGACAGCACGTACGCCGTGCCGCTGCAGTACCGCGGGAAGCGCCGCGCCCCGAACAGCCCCACCGGGACGTGGTGCCGGCTCCGCGGGTCCCGGTTCGGCCGCACCGCCCAGTGCACCCGACCCACGTACAGCGGCGGCACCGGCGGCGGCCACGCCGCCAGGAAGGCGGAGAGCGCGGGGGTGTTGATAAAAACATCATCGTCCGCCTTGAGGATGAACGGGACCGCCCCGCAGCAGGCGCGGGCCCAGCGCAGCAGCAGAACCGTTTTGCGCGTTAAATTCCCGTAGGTGTCGGTGAAATCGCCCTGAAGGACATCCCCGTGTCGCCGCCACTCCGCCAGCACCTCCCGCTGCCCGCGGGGATCCTCCGGGCGGCCCAGCACGAACACGGTGCGGGCGGGCAGAGCGCCGGTGCCGCCCCGGTTGGAGCCCCACGGGCCGCCCCACGTGTCGCGCACGGCGCGGCGGCGCTGCCGGTGCGAGGGGGCGCTGGGCACCAGCGTCAGCAGGAACGGGGCCGGGGACGGGCACGGGGCCGGGGCCAGCAGCACTTTGGGGGTCCGCGGGGAGCCCCAGGGAGCGGCGGGGAGGATGCCGGAGCCCCCCGAGAGGAGCCCGGTGCAACCGGGGGGGCCGTGGGGAGAACCGGGTTCAGCCCCGGGACCCCCAAATCCATCACCGGCATCACGAATTTCACCACCGGGACCCCCAATTCCACCCCCGGGATCCCGAATTTCACCACCGGGATGTCCAACTCCACCCCCGGGACCCTCAATTCCAACCCCGGGACTTCCAATTCCACCACCGGGACCCCCAATTCCAACACCGGGACCTCCAATTCCGCCCCCGGGATCTCCAATTCCAACCCCGGGATCACGAATTTCAACACCGGGATCTCGAATTCCAACCCTGGGATCCCGAATTTCACCACCGGGACCCCCAATTTCAACCCCGGGACTTCCAATTCCACCCCCGGGATGTCCAATTCCATCCCCGGGACCCCCAATTCCACCTCCGGGACCCCCAATTCCACCCCCGGGATGTCCAACTCCACCCCCGGGATCCCGAATTTCACCACCGGGACCCCCAATTCCATCCCCGGGACTTCCAATTCCAACCCCGGGATCACGAATTTCACCACCGGGACCCCCAATTCCAACCCCGGGACCCCCAATTCCACCCCCGGGACCCCCAATTCCAACCCCAGGATATCGAATTCCACCCCCGGGATCTCCAATTCCACCCCCGGGACCCCCAATTCCGACCCCGGCACCCCCAATTCCACCCCCGAGACCCCCAATTCCACCCCCGGGACCCCCAATTCCAACCCCGGGACCCCCAATTCCGCCCCCGAGATCCCGAATTTCACCCCCGGGATCTCCAATTCCACCTCCGGGATCCCGAATTTCAACACCGGGACCCCCAAATCCACCCCCGGGACCCCCAATTCCACCCCCGGGACCCCCAAATCCACCCCCGGGACCCCCAATTCCACCCCCGGGACCCCCAATTCCAGCCCCGGGACCCCCAATTCCAGCCCAATTCGTGACCCTCGAGCTCCCATTCAGGACCCCCGACCCCCATTTCCCGCCTCGCCCCCCCTCATTCAGGACCCCCGCGCCCCCAGTCATAAACCCCGCGCCCCCAAGCCACGCCCCCTCACTCCCAGGCCACGCCCCCTCACTACCTGGCCACGCCCCCCGCCCGCCGCCGTTCCCACGCTCCCCATTCACAAACTCGCCCCCCCAACTCCCCTCCCCCGCCTCCCCCGCGCCCCCCACGCCCATCCCCCACCCTGCCCCCTCCCCCCACGCCCCCCACGCCCCCCGCCCCTCCCCCCAGGCCAGGGCCGCCGCCAGCAGCTCCTCGCCCGCGCCGCTGCCCTGCAGCCACAGCAGCGCCATTGCCAGCGCCGCCAGCGCCGCCTTCGCCGCCCTCCGCCGCCATTTCCGCCGCCTCGGGCCCATCCCGGAGCCCTCCCCGCGCTCCTCTCACCTCCGCGAGCCCCAAAAACCCCAAAATCCGCCCCAAAATCCCCCCCGGGGGAGGGGGGGGGGCGCTCGGGCCGCGTCCGGCGCGCGGGGGCGTGGCCAAAGCCGGGGGCGTGGCCAAAGCCGGGGGGCGTGGCCAGAGCAGAGGGGCGTGGCCAAGGCAGCGGAGAGATTTCCATATATGGTAATAATGGGCGTGGCTTAGCGCTGGGGGCGTGGTTTGGTGCGCGGCGCATGCGCAGAGCGGAGTGGGCGTGGCCCGGGGCGTTGGAGCCGCGCGCGGAGCGGAGGGTGAAGGGGGGGGAGGGGAGGGGAAATTTTGGGGGGATTTTGGGGATTTTTTTGGGATTTTTGGGGGATTTGGGGGCTCCGGGAGGGTCTTGGGGTCCGTCTGGGAACCTGGAGGGGCCTTGGGGGGTTTTGGGGGGGGCAGGAGGAGATTTGGGGGGGCGCGAGGGAATTTGGGGGTCCCGAGGGGATTTTGGGGGTCCTGAGAGGATTTTGGGGGGTCCCCAGAGGAATTTGGGGGTCCCGAGGGGATTTGGTGGGTTACGAGGGGAATTTGGGGGTCCCCAGAGGAATTTGGGGGGTTATGAGGGGAATTTGGGGGTCCCGAGGGGAATTTGGGGGGTCCCGAAGGGATTTTGGGGGTCCCGAGGGGATTTTGGGGGCCCCAGAGGATTTTGAGGGTCCCGAGGATATTTTGGGGGTCCCCAGAGGAATTTGGGGGTCCCAGGGGTATTTTGGGGATCCTGAGTGGGTTTTGGGAGGTCCTGAGGGGAATTTGGGGGTCCTGAAGGGATTTTGGGGGTTCTGAGGGGAATTTGGGGGGTTCTGAGAGGATTTTTGGGGTCCCGAAGGGATTTTGGGGGTCCCGAGGGGATTTGGGGGGTCCTGAGAGGATTTTGGGGATCCCGAGGGGAATTTGGGGGGTCCCCAGTGGAATTTGGGGGTCCCGAGGGGATTTCGGGGGTCCCGAGGGGGTTTGGGGGGTCCTGAGAGGATTTTGGGGATCTTGAGGGGAATTTGGGGGTCCCGCGGGGATTTTGGGGGGTCCTGGGGGGGATTTGGGTTTTTTGGGGGTTTGGATTTTTTTGGGGCTCCTGGATTTTATTTTTTTTTTTGGGGGGGTCTCTGAGGGGTCAAGGGGGATTTTGGGGGTGCAGAGGGTGACCCCAATCCCCCCCAGCCCCCCAAAAACGCCCCAACCCCCCCCAGCCCCCCAAAACCGCCCCCCATGGCGGAGCCGCTGCAGAAGAAGCTCCAGGCGGAGCTGGAGAAGTACCAGCAGCTCCAGAAAGGTCAGAGCCAAAAAAGCCCAAAATCACCCCAAAAAATCCTCCTGGGAACCCCCAAAATCCCCCCAAAAATCTGCCCAGGTACCCTCAAAAATCACCCCAAAAATACCTCAAAATTCCCAAAAATCTCCCCTGGGAAACCCCAAAAATCCCCCCCAAAAAATCCTTCTGGGAACCCCAAAATCCCCCCAAAAAATCCTCCTGGGAACCCCCAAAATCACCCCAAAAATCCTCCTGGGAACCCCCCAAAATCCCCCCCAGAAATCCTCCTGGGAACCCCAAAATTCCCCCCCAAAAATCTACCCGGGAACCCTCAAAAATCCCCCCAAAAATCCCCGCATGAACCCCCCAAAATTCCCCCAAAAATCCCCCCTGGGGACCCCCAAAAATCCCCCCGGGAGCCCCCAAAATGCCCCCAAAAATCTGCCCGGGAACCCTCAAAAATCCCCCCAAAAATCCCCACATGAACCCCCCAAAATCCCCCCAAAAATCCCCCCTGGGAAAACCCAAAAATCCTCCTGGGAACCCCATAAATCCCCCAAAATTCCCCCAAAAATCCTCCTGGGAACTCCAAAAATCCCCCCTGGGGACCCCGAAAAATCCTCCTGGGAACCCCCAAAATCCCCCCAAAAAATCCTCCTGGGAACCCCCAAAATCACCCCAAAAATCTGCCCGGGAACCCCCAAAATCACCCAAAAAAATCCTTCTGGGAACCCCCAAAATCACCCCAAAAATCCTCCTGGGAACCTCAAAAATCCCCCCCAAAAAATCCTCCTGGGAACCCCCAAATCACCCAAAAAATCTGCCCGGGAACCCTCAAAAATCCCCCCAAAAATACCTCAAAATTCCCAAAAGTCTCCCCTGGGAACCCCCCAAAATCCCCCCAAAAAATCCTCCTGGGAAACCCCAAAATCACCCCAAAAATCTGCCTGGGAACCCTCAAAAATCCCCCCAAAAATCTGCCCAGGTACCCTCAAAAATCCCCCCCAAAATCCCCGCGTGAACCCCCCCAAAATCCCCAAAAATTCCCCCTGGGAACCCCCCAAAATCCCCCCCAAAAAATCCTCCTGGGAGCCCGCAAAATCCTCCCAAAAATCCTCCTGGGAACCCCAAAAATCCCCCCTGGGAACCCCCATAAAATCCTCCTGGGAACCCCAAAATCCCCCCAAAAATCCCCACGGGAACCCCCCAAAATCCCCCCCCAAAATACCCCAAAATCCCCAAAAATTCCCCCTGGGAACCCTCCAAAATCCCCCCAAAAATTCCCCCAGGAACCCTCAAAAATCCCCAAAATTCCCCCAAAATCTCCCCTGGGAACCCCCCAAAATCCCCCCAAAAAGCCCCCCTAGAACCCCAAAATCACCCCAAAAATCCTCCTGGGAACCCCCCAAAAAATCTCCCCAAAAGTCCCCCCTGGGACCCCCTGAAATCTCCCCTGGGAAACCCCATAAATCCCCCAAAATTCCCCCCAAAAAACCCCCCTGGGAACTCCCCAAAATCCCCCCAAAAAGCCCCCCTAGAACCCCAAAATTTCTCCAAAAATCCCCCCAAAATCTCCCCGGGAACCCCCAAAATCCCCCCGGGAACCCCCAAAAAAACCCAAAAATCCCCCAAAAATCTCTCCAAAAATCCCCCTGATCCTATTTTTGGGGTGCCCCTGAACCCAATTTTTGGGGTGCCCCATAACCCCGATTTTGGGTCCCTGAACCCCAATTTTGGGGTCCCTGAACCCCGATTTTGGGGTGCCCCATAACCCCGATTTTGGGGTCCCTGAACCCCGATTTTGGGGTGCCCCATAACCCCGATTTTGGGGTGCCTGATCCCCAATTTAGGGGTGCCCCGAACCCCGATTTTGGCGTGCCCCAACCCCGATTTTGGGGTCCCATAACCCCGATTTTGGGGTCCCATAACCCCGATTTTGGGGTGCCCCCGAACCCAATTTTGGGGTGCCCCTGGACCCCGATTTTGGGGTCCCTGAACCCCGATTTTGGGGTCCCCCTAAACCCCGATTTTGGGGTGACCCATAACCCCGATTTTGGGGTGCCCCAAACCCCAATTTGGGGTGCCCCTGATCCCATTTTTGGGGTGTCCCTGAACCCAAATTTTGGGGTCCCTGAACCCTGATTTCGGGCTGCCCCATAACCTCGATTTTGGGGTCCCCCGATCCCAATTTTTGGGGTCCCTGTTCCCCGATTTTGGGGTGCCCCTGAACCCAAATTTTGGGGGTGCCCCCAAACCCCAATTATGGGGTGCCCCCAATGCCTGATTTTGGGGTTCCCCCCGAACCCCAATTTTGGGGTGCCCCTGATCCCGATTTTGGGGTGCCCCATAACCCCGATTTTGGGGTGCCCCTGATCCCGATTTTGGGGTCCCTGAACCCCAGTTTTGGGGTCCCTGAACCCCGATTTTGGGGTGCCCCATAGCCCCAATTTTGGGGTCCCTGATCCCGATTTTGGGGTCCCCAAACCCCATTTTTGGGGTGCCCCTGATCCCGATTTTGGGGTGCCCCATAACCCCAATTTTGGGGTGCCTGATCCCGATTTTGGGGTGCCCCCAAACCCAATTTTGGGGTCCCCCCGATCCCATTTTTGGGGTGCCCCTGATCCCATTTTTGGGGTGCCCCTGATCCCGATTTTGGGGTGCCCCTGATCCCGATTTTGGGGTCCCTGAACCCCGATTTTGGGGTGCCCCATAACCCCATTTTTGGGGTCCCCCTGATCCCAATTTTTGGGATCCCCCTGAACCCCGAATTTGGGGTACCCCATAACCCCAATTTTTGGGGTGCCCCATAACCCCGATTTTGGGGTGTCCCTGATCCCGATTTTGGGGTGCCCCTGATCCCATTTTTGGGGTGCCCCTGATCCCATTTTTGGGGTGCCCCTGATCCTGATTTTGGGGTCCCTGATCCCCGATTTTGGGGTGTCTCATAACCCCGATTTTGGGGTCCCATAACCCCGATTTTGGGGTCCCTGATCCCCGATTTTTGGGGTGCCCCAACCCCAATTTTGGGGTGCCCCAAACCCCATTTTTGGGGTGCCCCTGATCCCATTTTTGGGGTCCCTGAACCCCAAATTTGTGTCCCCAGAGCTGGGCCGGGCGGTGGCGGCGCGGCAGAAGTTGGAGACGCAGCTGACGGAGAACAACATCGTGCAGGAGGTGGGAGCCAAAACACCCCAAAAGTGCCCAAAAATAACCCAAAAATAACCCAAAAATAACCCCAAAAATAACCCCAAAACTGCCCCAAAAATACCCCAAAAGTGCCCCAAAAATAACCCCAAAAATAACCCAAAATAACCCCAAAACTGCCCCAAAAATACCCTAAAAATACCCCAAAAATTCCCTAAAAATAACCCCAAAACTGCCCCAAAAATAACCCCAAAACTGCCCAAAAATACCCTAAAAATAACTTCAAAACTGCCCCAAAATAACCCCAAAAATCCGCCAAAACTGCCCCAAAAATACCCCAAAACTACCCCAAGCATACCCCAAAAGTGCCCCAATAAAACCCCCAAAATAACCCGAAAAATACCCCAAAACTGCCCCCAAAATACCCCCAAACTGCCCCAAACATAACCCCAAAAATTCCCTAAAAATAACCCCAAAGCTGCCCCAAAAATACCCTAAAAAAAACCCAAAACTGCCCAAAAATAACCCCAAAACGGCCCAAAAAGTAACACCAAAACTGCCTCAAAAATACCCCCAAAACTGCCCAAAAATACCCCAAAACTGCCCCAAAAATAACCCCAAACATAACCCCAAAACCAGGACCCCAAAATAGCCCTAAAACAGCCCAACACTGCCCCAAAAATACCCTAAAAATAACCCCAACACTGCCCAAAAATACCCAAAAAATCCCCTAAAACTGCCCCAAAAATTCCCAAAAAATACTCCAAGAATTTCCAAAAAATACCCTGAAACTGCTTCAAAAATTCCCCCAAAATACCATGAAACTGCCCCAAAAATTCCCCAAAACTGCTACAAAAATCCTTCAAAACTGCCCAAAAAATACCCCAAAACTGCCCCAGAAATTCCCTAAAAATACCCTGAAACTGTCCCCAAAATACACCAAAAATTCCCAAAAAATACTCCAAGAATTTCCAAAAAATCCCCTAAAACTGCCCCAAAAATACCCCAAAACTGCCCCAAAATAGCCAAAACTGCATAAAAATACCCCGAAATTGCTCCCAAAATACTCCAAAAAATTCCCAAAAAATGACCCCAAAATGTCCCAAAAATACCCAAAAGTTCCCAAAAACTCCCCTAAATCTGCCCCAATTAACCCCCCAAAACTGCCCCAAAAATTCCCCAAAACTGCCCAAAAGTTTCCCAAAAATCTCCCCAAAAATCCCCCAAAACTGCCCCAAAAATCCCCTTTTTCCCCCAATTCCTCTTTTTTTCCTAATTCCGCCTTTTACCCCCCAAAATTCCCTTTTTTACTCCCAAATTCCCTTTTACCACCAAATCCCATTTTTCTCCCCAAATTTTTCCCCCTAAAAATCCCTTTTTCCCCAAAAAAAAATCCTCTTTTTTAATCCCCCTTTTTCCCCTATATCCCAAAAATTTTCCCAAAAAATTGTCTTTTTTCCCCCCAAAAAATCTCATTTTTTACCCCCTTTTCCCACCAAAAATCCCAATTTTGCCAAAAAATTCTCATTTTACCCCCCAGAAATTCTCTTTTATCCCCCCAAAAATCCCCCTTTTTCCTAAAAAATCCCAAAAAATTTTCCCAAAAAATTCTCTTTTTTTCCCCCCCAAACAATCAAATTTTTTACCCCTTTTTCCTCAAAAAAATCCAAATTTTCCCCCCTTTTCCCCTTTTTTTCTCAAAAAAAATCTCATTTTTCCCCCAAAAAATTATCTTTTATCCCCAAAAAATCCCCTTTTTTTCCCAAAAAAATCCAAAAAAATTTCCCCCAAAAATTCTCTTTTTCACCCCCAAGAAATCCAATTTTTTCCACTTTTGCCCCCCCAAAAAAACCCAATTTTTACCCCTTTTCCCTCAAAAAATCCCAAATTTCCCCCCATTTTCCCCCCTTTTTTTATTCCCCAAAATCCCATTTTCATTCCCCAAAATCCCATTTTTTATTCCCCAAAATCCCATTTTTACCCCTTTTTCCCCAAAAAAATCCCAGTTTTTCCCCTTTTTTCCTCTTTTTCCCCCAAAAAATCCCATTTTTTACCCCTTTCCCCAAAAAAAACCCAAAAATTTTTCCCAAAAAATTCTCTTTTTCCCCCCAAAAAAATCCCCTTTTCCCCACCAAAAATCCCAATTTTTTACCCCTTTTCTCCCCCCAAAAATGAGAATTTTTACCCCCCAAAATCCCAATTTTTTACCCCTTTTTCCCCCAAAAAAATCCCAATTTCTCCCCCATTTTTCGCCCTTTTTTCCCCGTTTTCCCCCCAAAATCCCATTTTTTACTCCCCAAAATCCCATTTTTACTCCCCAAAATCTCATTTTCCATTCCCCAAAATCCCATTTTCCATTCCCCAAAATCCCATTTTCCATTCCCCAAAATCCCATTTTTTCCCCTCAAAATCCCATTTTTTATTCCCCAAAATCCCATTTTTTATTCCCCAAAATCCCATTTTTTACCCCCAAATACCCATTTTTCCCCCCCAAAATCCCATTTTTTATTCCCCAAAATCCCATTTTTTATTCCCCAAAATCCCATTTTTACCTCTTTTTCCCCCAAAAATCCCATTTTTACCCCTTTTCCCCCCAAAAAATCCCAAAAATTTTTCCCAAAAAATTATCTTTATCCCCTTTTCCATTCAAAAATTGCAATTTTTAACCCCTTTTCTCCCCCCCCAAAAAAATTAAAATTTTTACCCCTTTTTACCCCCCAAAATCCTATTTTTTACCCCTTTTCCCCCCAAAAAAAATCCTAATTTTCCCCCCTTTTTTCCCCCTTTTCCCCCCAAAATCCCATTTTTTACTCCCCAAAATCCCATTTTCTATTCCCCAAAATCCCATTTTTATTCCCCAAAATCCCATTTTTTATTCCCCAAAATCCCATTTTTTCCCCCAAATTCCCATTTTCCATCCCCCAAAATCCCATTTTCTATTCCCCAAATTCCCATTTTTACCTCTTTTTCCCCAAAAATCCCATTTTTACCCCTTTTCCCCCAAAAAATCCCAAAAATTTTCCCCAAAAAATTATTTTTATCCCCTTTTTCCATTCAAAAATTGCAATTTTTTACCCCTTTTCTCCCCCCAAAAATGAGATTTTTTCCCCAAAAAAATCCTATTTTTACCCCTTTTCCCCCCAAAAAAAATCCCAATTTCTCCCCCATTTTTCGCCCTTTTTTCCCCCTTTTTGCCCCAAAATCCCATTTTCTATTCCCCAAAATCCCATTTTCCATTCTCCAAAATCCCATTTTCTATTCCCCAAAATCCCATTTTTTACTCCCCAAAATCCCATTTTTCCCCCCAAATTCCCATTTTCTACTCCCCAAAATCCCATTTTTTATTCCCCAAAATCCCATTTTCTATTCCCCAAATTCCCATTTTTTATTCCCCAAATTCCCATTTTCTATTCCCCAAAATCCCATTTTTACCCCTTTTTCCCCCAAAAAATCCCAGTTTTTCCCCTTTTTTCCCCTTTTTCCCCCCAAAAAATCCCATTTCTTACCGGTTTTCCCCAAAAAAAATACAAAAAAAAATTTACCAAAAATTATCTTTTTCCCCCCCAAAAAAATCCCCTTTTCCGCACCAAAAATCCCAATTTTTTACACCATTTCTCCCCCAAAAAAAAAAAAATTTTTACGCCTAAAAATCCTATTTTTTACCCAATTTTCCCCCAAAAAAATCCCAATCTCCCCCCCATTTTTCCCCCTTTTTTCCCCCTTTTTGCCCCAAAATCCCATTTTTTTACTCCCCAAAATCCCATTTTTTACTCCCCAAAATCCCATATTTTATTCCCCAAAATCCCATTTTTTCCCTCCAAAATCCCATTTTTTATTCACCAAAATCCCATTTTTACCCCTTTTCCCCCCAAAAAAAAAATCCCAAAAATTTTTCCCAAAAAATTTTCTTTATCCCCTTTTCCCATCAAAAATTGCAATTTTTTTACCCCTTTTCTCCCCCAAAAAATGAGAATTTTTACCCCCAAAAATACTATTTTTTACCCCTTTTCCCCCCAAAAAATCCCAATTTCTCCCCCCCCATTTTTCACCCTTTTTTCCCCCTTTTCCCCCCAAAATCCCATTTTCTATTCCCCAAAATCCCATTTTTACCCCTTTTTCCCCCCAAAAAATCCCAGTTTTTCCCCTTTTTTCCCCTTTTTCCCCCCAAAAAATCCATTTTTAACCCCTTTCCCCCAAACAAATCCCAAAAATTTTTCCCAAAAAAATCATTTTATCTCCCAAAAAAATCCCCTTTTCCCCACCAAAAATCCCAATTTTTTACCCCTTTTCTCCCCCCAAAAATGAGAATTTTTACCCCTTTTTACCCCCCAAAATCCTATTTTTTACCCTATTTTCCCCCAAAAAAAGATCCTAGTTTTTCCCCCTTTTTTCCCCCTTTTCCCCCCAAAATCCCATTTTTTATTCTACAAAATACCATTTTTTTTCTATTCCCCAAAATCCCATTTTTTTCTCCCCAAAATCCCATTTCACCCCTTTTTCCCCCAAAAAATCCCAGTTTTTCCCCTTTTTCCCCTTTTTCCCCCAAAAAAATCCCATTTCTTACCCATTTTCCCAAAGAAAATCCCAAAGCTTTTTCCCAAAAAATCCCATTTCTTCCCCCCAAAAAAATTCCCCTTTTCCCACCAAAAATCCCAATTTTTTATCCCTTTACTCCCCCAAAAAATGAGAATTTTTATCCCCAAAAATCCTATTTTTTACCCCTTTCCCCCCCCAAAAAAATCCCAATTTCTCCCCCATTTTTCGCCCTTTTTTCCCCCTTTTCCCCCCAAAATCCCATTTTCTATTCCCCAAAATCCCATTTTTTACTCCCCAAAACCCATTTTTTATTCCCCAAAATACCATTTTTACCCCTTTTTCCCCCCAAAAATCCCAGTTTTTCCCCTTTTTTCCCTTTTTCCCATTTTTTCCCCCAAATTCCCATTTTTTATACCCCAAAATCCCATTTTTTCCCCCCAAATTCCCATTTTCTACTCCCCAAAATCCCATTTTCTATTCCCCAAAATCCCATTTTCCATTCCCCAAAATCCCATTTTTTATTCCCCAAAATCGCATTTTACCCCTTTTTCCCCCCAAAAAAATCTGAATTTCTCCCCCAAAATCCCATTTTTACCCCTTTTTCCCCACCAAAAATCCCAATTTCTCCCCCAAAATCCCATTTTTTCCCCCCAAATTCCCATTTTCCATCCCCCAAATCCCCCTTTTTTCCCCCCCCAATTCCATTTTTCCCAATTTTTGGCTTTTTCACCCCAAAAGGAGCTGCAGCTGCTGGACGAGTCCAACTGCATTTTCCGGCTGCTGGGGCCGGTGCTGCTGCGGCAGGAGCTGCGCCAGGCGCGGGAGCACGTGGGGAAGCGGCTGCAGTACATCGGGGGGGAGCTGTGAGTTTGGGGGGAAAAATGGGGATTTTGGGCAAAATGCAGAAAAAGTGAAAAAATGGGGAAAAAAGGGAAAAAAACGGGGAAAAAATGGGGGAAAAATGAGCGAAAATCGGGAAAAAATGGGGGGAAATGGAGGGAAAGCGGCTGCAGTGCATCGGGGGCGAGCTGTGAGTTTGGGGTGAAAAACCGGGATTTTGGGCAAAAATGGGCTAAAAAATGTGAAAAATGGAGGGAAAGGGGAAAAATTGGGAAAAAAACAGAGAAATGGGGGGAAAATGGGAAAAAATGGGAAAAACGGGTGGAAAAATGGGGGGAAATGGAGGGGAAGCGGCTGCAGTACATCGGGGGGGAGCTGTGAGTTTGGGGCAAAACCCGGGATTTTGGGCAAAAATGGGGAAAAGTGAAAAAATGGGGGAAATTGGGGAAAAAAAACAGGAAAAAAATGGGGAAAAATGGGGGGAAAAATGGGGAAAATGGAGGGGAAATGGCTGCAGTACATTGGGGGGGAGCTGTGAGTTTGGGGGAAAAAACCGGGATTTTGGGCAAAATGCAGAAAAGTGAAAAAATGGGGAAAAACTGAGAAAAAATGGGGAAAAAACCACAAAAAACGGGCAAGAAATGGAAAAAATGGGGGGAAAATGGGGGGAAATGGAGGGGAAGCAGCTGCAGTACATCGGGGGGGAGCTGTGAGTTTGGGGGAAAAAAACGGGATTTTGGGCAAAATGCAGAAAAAGTGAAAAAATGGGGAAAAACGGGGAAAAACACGGAGAAAATGGAGAAAAAACGGGGGGAAAAGGGAAAAAAAGGGGGCAAAAATGGGTGAAATGGAGGGGAAACGGCTGCAGTATATCGGGGGCGAGCTGTGAGTTTGGGGCGAAAACACGGGATTTTGGGCAAAATGCAGAAAAAGTGAAAAAATGGGGAAAATAGGGGGGGAAATGGGGAAAAAAACCGGGGAAAATGGGTAAAAATGGGGGGCAAAATGGGGGGAAATGGAGGGGAAACGGCTGCAGTACATCGGGGGCGAGCTGTGAGTTTGGGGTGAAAACACGGGATTTTGGGCAAAATGCAGAAAAAGTGAAAAAATGGGGAAAAACTGAGAAAAAATGGGGAAAAAACCACAAAAAATAGGCAAAAAATGGGAAAAATAGGGGCAAAAATGGGGGGAAATGGAGGGGAAATGGCTGCAGTACATCGGGGGGGAGCTGTGAGTTTGGGGTGAAAAACCGGGATTTTGGGCAAAATGGGAAAAAGTGAAAAAATGGGGAAAAAAGGTGGAAAAATGGGGAAAAAACGGGGAAAAAATTGGCAAAAAATGGGAAAAATAGGGGCAAAAAGAGGGGAAATGGAGGGAAAGCGACTGCAGTGCATCGGGGGGGAGCTGTGAGTTTGGGGTGAAAAACCGGGATTTTGGGCAAAATGGGAAAAAGTGAAAAAATGGGGAAAAACTGAGAAAAAATGGGGGGAAAATGGGGAAAAAATGGGGGAAAATTGGGAAAAAATGGGAAAAATAGGGGCAAAAAGGGGGGAAATGGAGGGGAAGCGGCTGCAGTACATCGGGGGCGAGCTGTGACTTTGGGGTGAAAAACCAGGATTTTGGGCAAAATGCAGAAAAAGTGAAAAAATGGGGAAAAACGGGGAAAAACTGAGAAAAAATGGGGAGAAAATGGGAAGAAATGGGGGAAAATGGGGGGAAATGGAGGGGAAACGGCTGCAGTACATCGGGGGCGAGCTGTGAGTTTGGGGTGAAAACACGGGATTTTGGGCAAAAACGGGAAAAAGTGAAAAATGGGGAAAAACTGAGAAAAAACAGGGAAAAAACCACAAAAAATTGGCAAAAAAATGGGAAAATAGGGGCAAAAAGGGGGGAAATGGAAGGGAAGCGGCTGCAGTACATTGGGGGCGAGCTGTGAGTTTGGGGTGAAAAACCGGGATTTTGGGCAAAATGGGCTAAAAAACGGGAAAAATGGGGAAAAACTGAGAAAAAATGGGGAAAAAACCACAAAAAATTGGCAAAAAAATGGGAAAAATGGGGGGAAATGGAGGGGAAGCGGCTGCAGTACATCGGGGGGGAGCTGTGAGTTTGGGGGGAAAAACCGGGATTTTGGGCAAAATGCTGAAAAAGTGAAAAAATGGGGAAAAACGGGGAAAAACACGGAGAAAATGGAGAAAAAACGGGGGGAAAAGGGAAAAAAAGGGGGCAAAAATGGGTGAAATGGAGGGGAAGCAGCTGCAGTACATCGGGGGCGAGCTGTGAGTTTGGGGGGAAAACACGGGATTTTGGGCAAAAATGGGAAAAAGTGAAAAAATGGGGAAAAACGGGGAAAAAATGGGGAAAAAATCGTGGAAAATTGGCAAAAAAATGGGAAAAATGGGGGCAAAAAGGGGGGAAATGGAGGGAAAGCGGCTGCAGTGCATCGGGGGGGAGCTGTGAGTTTGGGGTGAAAACACGGGATTTTGGGCAAAATGGGAAAAAGTGAAAAAATGGGGAAAATTGGGGAAAAAATGGGGAAAAAGGGGGAAAAAATCCAGGAAAAATTGGCAAAAAAATGGGAAAAATGGGGGCAAAAAGGGGGGAAATGGAGGGGAAGCGGCTGCAGTGCATCGGGGGCGAGCTGTGAGTTTGGGGCGAAAAACCGGGATTTTGGGCAAAATGCAGAAAAAGTGAAAAAATGGGGGAAAACGGGGAAAATATGGGGAAAAAACCACGAAAAATTGGCAAAAAATGGGAAAAATGGGGGCAAAAAGGGGGGAAATGGAGGGGAAATGGCTGCAGTGCATCAGAAGGGAGATGTGGGTTTGGGGTGAAAAACTGGGATTTTGGGCAAAAACGGGAAAAAGTGAAAAAAGTGGGGGGGAAGGAGGTAAAAAACAGGATTTTGGGCAAAAATGGGGAAAAAAAAAGGAAAATGGGGAAAAAATGAGAAAAAAACGGGGGGAAAAATGGGGGGAAATGGAGGGGAAACAGCTGGAGGGCATCAGAAGGGAGATGTGAGTTTGGGGTAAAAAACCGGGATTTTGGGCAAAATGCAGAAAAAGTGAAAAAATGTGGAAAAAAGGGGGGAAAATGGGGAAAAAATGGGGGGGAATATTGGAAAAAAACGGGGAAAAAAGGGGGAAATGGAGGAAAAAAGGGGGAAATGGCTGGAGTACATCGGGGGAGATGCGGGTTTGGGGGGAAAAATGGGGATTTTGGGCAAAATGGGAAAAATTTGGGGGAAAATGGGGAAAACCCCCATATTCCCCCCAAAATCCCTATTTTTCCCCAAAATCCCCATTTTTTCCTCCAAAAATTGCCTTATTTCCCCCATAATTCAATTTTTTTCCCAAAATCCCCATTTTTCCCATGCAAAATCCCCATTTTTCCCCCAAAAAATCCCCATTTTTCCCCCTAAAATCAGTCTTTTTCCTCAAAATTCCCCTTTTTTCCGTCCAAAATTCCCTTTTTCCCCTCAAAATTCAAAATATTTCCCTCCCCAAAAAATCCCCATTTTTCCCACAAAAATTCCCTATTTTTCCCCAAATTTCCACTTTCCCCCAAAATCCCCATTTTCCCCCCAAATCCACATTTTCCCTCCAAAAATTCACATTTTCCACACAAAATTCATTTTTTCTCCCAAAATCCCTATTTTTCCCCTCAAATCCCCATTTCCCCCCCAAATTCCCATTTTCCCCCCAAAATCCCCATTTTCCCCCCAAAATTCAAAATTTTTTTCCCAAAATCCCCATTTTTCCCCCAAATCCCCATTTTCCCTCCCAAAATTCCCTTTTTCTCCCATAATTCAATTTTTCCCCCAAAATCCCCATTTTCCCCAAAAAAATCAAATTTTTTTCCCAAAATCCCCATTTTCCCCAAAAATCCCCATTTTTCCCCCCAAATCCCCATTTTTCCCCCCCAAAATCCCCATTTTCTCCAAAAAAAATCAAATTTTTTTCCCAAAACTCCCCTTTTCATCCCAAAAATCCCCATTTTCCCTCAAAAAATCCCCATTTTTTTCCCATAAAACAATCTTTTTCCTCAAAATTCCCCTTTTCCCCACCCTAAAGTCCCCTTTTCTCCCCCAAAACTCAAAATTATTTTTCCAAAATCCCCATTTTTCCCCCAAATCCCCTTTTCCCCAAAAAAATCAATTTTCCCCCAAAAAACCTCCATTTTCCCCCTAAATTCAAAATTTTTCCCCAAATTCCCATTTTTTCCCTCCCAAAAATTTGCTTTTTCCCCCATAATTCAAATTTTTTTCCCAAAATCCCCATTTTTCCCCCCAAAATCCCCATTTTCCCCCAAAAAAATCATTTTTTTCCCAAAATCCCCATTTTCCCTCCAAAAATTCACATTTTCCCCCCAAAATCCTCATTTCCTTCCCCAATCCTCATTTTTTCTTCCCCAAATTCCCATTTTTCCCCAAAAAAATCCCCATTTTCCCCCCAAAAATCCCCATTTTTTCCCCATAAAACCAATCTTTTTCCTCAAAATTCCCCTTTTTTCCCCCCAAATCCCCATTTTCCCTCCCAAAATTCCCTTTTTCCCCCATAATTCAATTTTTCCCCCAAAATCCCCATTTTCCCCCTAAAAATTCAAATTTTTTTTCCCAAAATCCCCATTTTCCCCCCAAAAATCCCCATTTTTCCCCATAAACCCAATCTTTTCCCTCAAAATTCCCCTTTTTCCCGCCTAAATTCCCTTTCCCCCCCCCAAAACTCAGAATTATTTTCCCAAAATCCCCATTTTTCCCCCAAATCCCCATTTTCCCCAAAAAAATCAATTTCCCCCCAAAAACCTCCATTTTCCCCCTAAATTCAATTTTTTTCCCAAAATCCCCATTTTCCCCCCCAGATCCCCATTTTCCCTCCCAAAATTCCCTTTTTCTCCCATAATTCAATTTTTTCCCCCAAAAATCCCCATTTTCCCCAAAAAATTCAAATTTCTTTTTCCAAAATCCCCTTTTTTCCCCCCAAATCCCCATTTTCCCTCCCAAAATTCGCTTTTTTCCCCCCATAATTCAATTTCTTTTCCCAGAATCCCCATTTTTCCACCCAAATCCCCATTTTCCCTCCCAAAATTCCCTTTTTCTCCCATAATTCAATTTTTTCCACCAAAATCCCCATTTTCCCAAAAAAAATCCAATTTTTTTTTCCAAAATCCCCCTTTTTCCCCCCAAAATCCCCATTTTCCCCCTAAAAATTCGAAATTTTTTTCCCAAAATCCCCATTTTTACCCCAAAATCCCTATTTTCCCCCCAAAAATCCCCATCTTTCCCCCAAAATCCCCATTTTTCCCCATAAAACCAATCTTTTTCCTCAAAATTCCCCTTTTCCCCCGCCCAAAATTCCCTTTTCCCCCCCCAAAACTCAGAATTATTTTCCCAAAATCCCCATTTTTCCCCCAAATCCCCATTTTTCCCAAAAAAATCTATTTTCCCCCCAAAAACCTCCATTTTCCCCCTAAATTCAATATTTTTCCCCAAATTCCCATTTTTTCCCTCCCAAAAATTCACTTTTCCCCCATAATTCAAATTTTTTCCCCCAAATCCCCATTTTCCCCCAAAATTCCCATCTTCCCCCAAAATTCCCATCTTCCCCCAAAATTCTCATTTTCCCTCCAAAATTCAATTTTTTTCCCCAAAACTCCCCTTTTCCCCAAAAAATCCCCATTTTTCCCCCCAAAAAATCCCCATTTTCCCCAAAAAATTCAATTTTTTCCCCAAAATCCCCATTTTCCCTCCCGAAATTCAAATTTTCCCCCAAAATCCTCATTTCTCTCCCCAATCCCCATTTTCCCCCCCAAAATCACCATTTTTCCCAAAAAAATCCCCATTTCCCCCCCCTAAAATCAATCTTTTTCCTCAAAATTCCCCTTTTTTTCTGTCCAAAATTCCCTTTTCCCCCCCAAAATTCAAAATATTTCCCTCCCCAAAAAATCCCCATTTTTCCCACAAAAATTCCCTATTTTTCCCCAAATTTCCACTTTCCCCCAAAATCCCCATTTTACCCCCAAATCCCCATTTTCCCCAAAAATCCCCATTTCCCCCCCAAATCCCCATTTCCCCCCCAAATCCCCATTTTCCCTCCCAAAATTCACATTTTCCCCAAAAAATTCAATTTTTTTCCCAAAATCCCCATTTTCCCCCCAAAATTCAAAATTTTTCCCTCCCAAAATTCACATTTCCCCCCCAAAATCCTCATTTCCCTCCCCAATCCCCATTTTTTCCTGCCCAAAATTCCCATTTTCCCCCCAAAAATCAAATTTTTTCCCCCAAAATCCCCATTTTTTCACCATAAAACCAATCTTTCCCCTCAAAATCCCCCTTTTCCCCGCCCAAAATTCCCTTTTTCCCCCTCAAAACTCAAAATTATTTTTCCAACATTCCCTTTTTCCCCCCACAATTCAATTCTTTTTCGCAAAATCCCCATTTTCCCCCAAAAAATCCCCATTTTCTCCCAAAATCCAATTTTTTCCCATGCAAAATCCCCATTTTCCCCCAAAATTCAAAATTTTTTCCCAAAATCCCCGTTTTCCCCCCAAATCCGCATTTTCCCTCCCAAAACTCAGATTTGCCCCAAAAAATACCATTTTTTCCCCAAAATCCTTGTTTCCCCTCCAAATACCCATTTTCCCAAAAAAATTCAAATTTATTTTTCCCAAAATCCCCATTTTTACCCCAAAATCCCATTTTTTCCCCAAAATCCCCATTTTCCCCAAAAAAATCAAATTTTTTTTCCCTCAAAAATCCCCATTTCCCCCCCAAAAATCCCCATTTTTTTCCCCATAAACCCAATCTTTTCCCTCAAAATCCCCCTTTTTCCTGCCCAAAATTCCCCTTTTCCCCCCCAAAACTCAAAATCATTTTCCCAAAATCCTCCTTTCCCCCCCAAATCCCCATTTTTCCCCCAAAAAATCCCCATTTTTCCCCCAAAATCCCCATTTTCCCCAAAAATCTCATTTTTTTCCAAAACTCCCATTTTCCCCCCCAAAATCCCCATTTTTCCACAAAATCCCCATTTTCCCCCTAAAATTCCAAATTTTCCTCCCCAGATCCTCATTTTCCCTTCCAAAATTCACATTTTCCCCGCAAAATTCCATTTTTTCCCCCAAAATCCTCGTTTCCCCCCCAAATCCCCATTTTCCCCCCCAAAATCCCCATTTTCCCAAAAAAATCAAATTTTTTCCCCCAAAAAATCAAATTTTTTCCCCCAAAAATCCCCATTTCCCCCCCAAAAATCCCCATTTTTCCCCCATAAACCCAATCTTTTCCCTCAAAATCCCCTTTTCCCCCCCAAAACTCACAATTATTTCCCAACATTCCCTTTTTGCCCAAAATCTCTGTTTTTTGCCCCATTTTTAGGAAGCGCTACGAGCAGCAGATGCAGGAGCTGGAGCGGCGCTCGGAGCAGCAGCGGGAGCTGCTGGGGCGGCTCCAGCAGGAGCTGCAGGCCCGGCCCTGACACCCCAAATTTGGCATCCCCAAAACCCCAAAATTTCGGGGAAACACCCCAAAAAATCCCCAAATTCCCCCGGACCCAAAAACCCCAAAAATCCCCATTAAATTCCAATAAAATCACCCCAAAATACAGATTTTTGTCTTATTTTGATGATTAATTCCTGAATTTTGGGGTGACCCTGAGCACCCCAAAATTTTGGGGACCCCCCCGAAAAATCCCAAAATCCCCCCGGACCCAAAAACCCCAAAATCCCCATTAAATTCTGGGAAAATCACCCCAAAATCTGAATTTTTGTCTTCTATTTTCATTAAATTCCCACATTTTTTGGGAATTTTGGGGGGTCCTGGGCACCCCAAAATTTCGGGGAACCCTCCCAAAAAATCCCAAAATCCCCCCGGACCCCAAAAATCCCAAAAATCCCCATTAAATCCCAAGAAAAACCCCCCAAAATACAGATTTTTGTCTTATTTTGATAATTAATTCCCAAATTTTTGGGGGACCCTGAGCCCCCCAAAATTTTGGGGACCCCCAAAAATCCCGGACCCCAAAATCCCAAAAATCCTGATTAAATTCCAGGAAAACGCCCCAAAATTGGGATTTTTGTCTCATTTTGATGTTCAATTCCCAAACTTTTTGGGGAAATTTTAGGGGGTCCTGAGCACCCCAAAATTTTGGGGGACCCCCCAAAAATCCCGGACCCAAAAATCCCCAAAAATCCCCATTAAATTCTGGGAAAACACCCCAAAATTGGGATTTTTGTCTCATATTGATGTTCAGTTCCCAAATTTTTTGGGAATTTGGGGGGTCCTGAGCACCCCAAAATTTGGGGACCCCCCAAAAATCCCGGACCCAAAAATCCCCATTAAATTCCAGGAAAAACACCCCAAAATACAGATTTTTGTCTCATTTTGATGATTAATTCCCAAATTTTGGGGGGACCCTGAGCACCCAAAAATTTTGGAGACCCCCCCAAAAATCCCGGACCCAAAAAATCCCCAAAAATCCCCATTAAATCCCAAGAAAATCACCCCAAAATCGGAATTTTTGTCAGCGGCGAGAGGCGAGGGGGCCCCCCGGTCCCGGGAGGGACTCTTTGATCTGCCCGGCGACCGATGACATCACCGCAGCCTCGAGCTGCCATTGGCGGGCCGCAAAGAGCGGAGCCAATGGCGGGGCCGGAGGCGGCTCTGGGGGCGGGGCCGCAGCGGAGCGGCGCCATGGCTCCCGCGCTGGGGCTGGGGGCGCTCCTGGGCCCCGGGGCGGCGGCGAGAGGCGAGGGGGACCCCGGCCCCGGGAGGGACTCTTTGAGCGCCCATTCCGGAGCACCGAGGGGCCTGAGCCCCCATTCCCGGGCGCCGCCATCCCCCCGCACCCCATTCCCGGCATGGGTTCTACCCTGCACCCCCTTATCCGGCACCAGCAGCCCCCGCACCCCTTTCCCGGCCATCCCGCCTCTCCCAGCCCCCAGAGCCCCCTTTTCCTTCACCCAGAGATCCCCTGGAGCCCTATTCCTGCCTTTCCCAGCGCCCAGCCCCTCCTTTCCTCAACGCCGAGGACACCCGGGACCCCTATTCCCAGCCAGCCCGGGTTTTCCCACCTTTTCGGGGAATGGGGACACCGGGGAGCCGTGGAGCTCCATTTCCTGGATACAGGAACCCCCTTAACCCCGCCCATCCCACCTCTACCCACCCCAGCCTTCCCCTTTCTTAATCCTGGAACCCCCAAACCCCGTTCCCAGCTCTCCCGTGCCCCCTTTCCTTCCCCCGTGCCCCCCCAGCCCCCAAATCTCCGTGTGCCCCCAGTTCTCCTGTCCCTGCGTTCCCTGCCCGTGGCGCTGTCGGGGCCCGGCCCGGGGTTCCCGCAGTTCGTGTCCATGGGGTCCCTGGATGGGATCCCCTTCCAGCGGAGCCGCAGCCGAGCCGGGATCTCGGCACAGCCGGAGCCGGCACAAGGAGCGGAGGACTTCTCCTCCCCCTGCCTGCTGGCTGTGGGCGAATCTCAGCAGAGGCAGAGCCTTGGCTGGGCTGGCCCGGCCCGGGGCTGCTCCTGGGGCCTGGCGGCTCCTGGCTCGGCCTGGGCGAGCAGCAGGGTGGGCCTTAGCAGCGGCCAGATGTTGGCAGCTGCAGCCGCCAGAGCTCGGCCCCGCGGCCTCTCCTCCCGCTGCAGCTGCTGGGCTCCCCAGGAAGGGGATTTTTCCTTTTTTACCTGCATCTTCATAGAGACATATCAGCTTTCTCAGCGGTTTAGCAGACTGTCATTGTCAAAGCTAATTACTGATTGGGTTTGTGTCAGACACGGAGGAAACTGCTCGGAGCTTCTCTGTGCATTTCTTCCATAAGCACCTCCCATGCAAAACCAGCCCAGGATAGCAACAGGGGGCTGGGGATGGAAACTGAGCACAGCAACAGGGGCTGGTGATGTTTGCCTGTGAAGGAACCGAGTTGCCACAGGCACTCAGAGAGGTTCCATGGGGACTTCCCAAGTCTCCAGGCTCTTCAAGAGCTGGAATGTCACACACAGAGAGACAGGGGCTCCGTGGAGACCTGCCAGGGCTTTCTGGGGATGGTAAGGAGCCGAGTGGTCAGAGGCAGTCACAGCCATTCCATGGTGACATCCCAGCGCACCTTGTGCTGCAAAGGCACCGATCTGTCACAGGCACTCACAGGGGCTCCACGGTGACATCCCAGGAGTGCCCAGGCTGCCAAAGAGGCGGGAGGTCCCAGACACTCACGGGGTTTCTGTCACAGGCAGAGTGGGAGCTTCGGGCAAAAGCATTATTTCTTTATTGGAGAAACTCCTGCTGAATCATGAGATGGAGAAATGATACCCAGCAGCCACCCTGAAACCCCAAAACCCTCCAGGACGTTTAGACTTCAAAAATTTGTTCAAAGAGAGGAGCCTCTGAGTGGCTGGATCCAATCCCAGCCCCAGACTTTCTCAAAAGTTTAAAAGATTGGACAGGTGGAATTGAACTTCAGTGCAATTTGTCCCACAGGATTAGCGATGGAATACCAGATATATTTATAGAAATGTAATGGAACAGTTCATACTGAGTGCTACCACACAGCACTTACAGGATGGCCAGGGTACCAGACCCAGGCAGCATGGGTTTACACAGGGCAGATCATGTCTGAGCAACCCGGTCTCCTTCTATGACCAGGTGACCCACTTGGTGGATGCAGGCAGGGCTGTCTGTGGATGTTGGCTATTTAGACTCCAGCAAGGCCTTTGATGCTGTCTCCCACAGCACACTCCTGGAAAAGCTGCAGCCCACGGCTGGGCCAGGAGCGCTCTGTGCTGGGTTAGGAACTGGCTGGATGGCCGGCCCAGAGAGCGGTGGTGAGCGGTGCTGCATCCAGCTGGGGACAGGCACCAGTGGTGTCCCTCAGGGCTCTGTGCTGGGACCAGTTCTATTGAATATTTTTATAGACGACATGGATGAGGGCATTGAGTCCTTCATTGGTCAATTTGCAGAAATACTAAGCTGGGAGCTTGTGTTGATCTGTTGGAAGGAAGGAGGGCTCTGCAGAGAGATTTGGATCGATTGGACGGATGGGCAGAGTCCAACAGCATGAAGTTTACTAAGTCTAAGTGCCGAGTTCTGCATTTTGGACACAAAAATCCCCGACAGCATTACAGGTTGGGGACAGTGTGGCTGGACAGTGTCCAGGCAGAAAGGGACCCGGGGGTGCTGGTGGACAGCCGGGTGGATATGAGCCAGCAATGTGCCTCGGTGGCCAAGAAGGCCAATGGCTCCTGGCCTGCATTAGGAATTGTGTGAGCAGCAGGAGCAGGGAGGTCATTCTCCCCCTGTACTCGGCGCTGGTGAGACCGCACCTTGAGTGCTGTGTCCAGTTCTGGGCCCTCAGTTCAGGAAGGACATTGAGATGCTTGAGCACGTCCAGAGGAGGCAACGAGGCGGGTGAGGGGCTGGGAACACAAGCCCTGTGAGGAATGTTTGAGGGAGTTGGGGTTGTTTAGCCTGGAGAAGAGGAGGCTCAGAGGTGACCTTACTGCTCTCCACAGCTCCTGAAGGGAGGCTGCAGACAGGTGGGGGTCGGTCTCTTCCACCGGGCAGCAACTGGCAGAACAAGAGGACACTGCCTCAAGCTTTGTCAGGGAAGGTTTAGGTTGGATATTAGGAAAAACTTTTTCACTGAAAGAATAATAAAATACTGGAATTGTCTTCCTAGGGAGGTGGTGGAATCACTATCTCTGGATATGTTTAAAAAAAGACTGGATTTGGCACTTGGTGCTGTAGTCTGGTTGTGGTGTTAGGGCACAGGTTGGACTTGATGATCTTAGAGGTCTCTTCCAACCTCATTATTCTGCGATACCGTGATTAAAAAATAAAGTTGTTTCCTTTTACTCTCTTAATCTTTATAAGAGTGCGTGAGTTATTTTGTGTCCTGGTGCAACAGTGTGACATCACAGTGGCTGTGTAACCTCACAGAGATCAGTGTCACATCACAGAGATGTCCGTGTGACATCACAGGGTCAGTGTGACATCACAGGGGCAATATGACATCCCATAGATGTCTGTGTGACATCACAGGGGTGTGTGACATCACAGGAAGGCTGTGTAATTTCACCCTGCTCTTGTAAATGCTTTAAAGTTCTCTTAAAAGTTTTCTCTGCCTCCTAATGTTTACATATTTCTACTAGAGTTCTCATGCACTGTTCATGTAAATAATAATTGTTGTACTTTCTTCCTTATAAGAAGAGAGCATTGATGCAGTGTTAGTTAAACCAGTGAAGTTAGAGAAGTAGTAATTACATCCTCCAATCCATTGCCGCTTTAAAAAATTCATATATTACATAAAGCAAAAATAAAAGTTACTTCCTTTTTCTCTTTTAATCTTAATATGATGATGTGAGTTATTTTGTGTCCTAGTGCAACAGTGTGACATCACAGGGGCTCTGTGACATCACAGAGACCTGTGTGACATCAACGGAATAGTGTGACATCACAGAGATATCCGTGTGACATCAAAGACAGCTGTGTGTCATCACAGGGGCTGTGTGACATCACAGATATGTCTGTGTGACATCACAGGGGCTATATGACATCACAGATATGTCCATGTGACATCACAGGGACTGTGTGACATCACAGAGATGTCCATGTGAC